TCTGCACTGTATGACATGGTGTCTGCACTGTATAAAATGGTGTCTGCACTGTATGACATGGTGTCAGCACTGTACGATGGAGTGTCTGCACTGTATGATGTGGCGTTGGCACTGTATAATGTGGTTTCTGTACAGTATGATGTGGTGTCTGCACAGTATGATGTGTCTGCACTGGATGATGTGGTGTTGGAACTTTTTGATATGGTGTCAGCACTGTATAACGTGGTGTCAACACTGTATGACATGGTGTCTGCACTGTATAACATGGTGTCTGCACTGTATGATGGAGTGTCTTCACTGTATAACATGGTTTCTGCACTGTATAACATGGTGTCTAAACTGAATGACCTGGTGTCTGCACTGTATGACCTGGTGTCAGCACTGTATCATGGTTTGTCTGCACTGAATAACATGGTGTCAGCACTGAATAACATGGTGTCAGCACTGAATAACATGGTGTCTGCACTGTATAACATGGTGTCTGCACTGTATAACATGGTGTCTGCACTGTATAACATGGTGTCTGCACTGTATAACATGGTGTCTGCACTGTATGACATGGTGTCAGCACTGTATGACATGGTGTCAGCACTGTATGATGGGGTGTCTGCACTGTATGATGGGGTGTCTGCACTGTATGATGGGGTGTCTGCACTGTATGATGTGATGTTGGCACTGTATAATGTGGTGTCAGCACTGTTTGACCTGGTGTCTGCACTGTATGATGGGTGCACTGTATAACATGGTGTCTGCACTGTATAACATGGTGTCTGCACTGTATAACATGGTGTCAGCACTGTATGACCTGGTGTCAGCACTGTATAACATGGTGTCAGCACTGTACAACATGGTGTCTGCACTGTGTGACATGGTGTCAGCACTGTATGATGGGGTGTCTGCACTGTATGATGGGGTGTCTGCACTGTATGATGTGACGTTGGCACTGTATAATGTGGTGTCAGCACTGTTTGACCTGGTGTCTGCACTGTATGATGGGGTGTCTGCACTGTATGATGGAGTGTCTGCACTGTATGACATGGTGTCAGCACTGTATGATGGGGTGTCTGCACTGTATGATGGTGTGTCTGCACTGTATAACATGGTGTCAGCACTGTATGATGGGGTGTCTGCACTGTATGATGGTGTGTCTGCACTGTATGATGGTGTGTCTGCACTGTATGATGGTGTGTCTGCACTGTATAACTTGGTGTCAGCACTGTGTGTAGGAGCAGGAGGAGTAGAGAAACAGCAGGATGAAACAGTCGATCAGAAGAATGCTGTAGAAACATCTCTGGGTGTGCAGACTTGGACTCCTCTGAAAGCGGGTGAGCAGCACAGCCAGCAGTAAAAAAAATGTGGCAGTGTTCAAGAGGAGGAATAGTCTGATGTAGGAAGCTGTACTGGAGACCTTTTCACTCCTTGCTGTGGCCACCATGTGAACCTCCTTAAATCTGCGCCCCTTGACAAAAGCCCCCTTTCGGTTCTTGCGACCATCTGTATAATCTATAAAGGCTCGTGAATCTGCATCGCCTTCCTCTGGGCTGTCCTCATATGTGCGTTTTGAAGTCCTCTGTCTCTCCTTCTTTTCRTTTAACTCAATTTGTGCAAACATGTCTGGCATACTTTCAGAAAGCCTTTCTCCAAGGTTCATCTTCTTCCCTCCTTTACCTTTGTTTTGTTTTTTTGACATAGCAAACATTTTCTCGATGACTTCCTCTGTCTTCTTTTTGTCGGAGAACTGGAGGAGGCGCTCTGCAGTCTTACGAAAGGTGGCGGTGTTAAGGACCCGTCCCAGTATGTGTCTCTCCATCTGCTGGAAGACAGGCTTCACATGCTGGAGGTTGTCCTCCATCACATTGACRTATTCTTCAACCTCCTCAGGTGATGTGTCCACCACACCGGCTGCCCTCTCAAACACAATCTTCTTGTGGTCCAGCAGCACCATGGCGAACAGAGGCTTGCTGGTGACTTCTCCGGTCAGCAGGTAGATGGTGTAGGTGTGGTCCTTAGTGGCAAGGTAAACATCCACCCTCTGATCATCTCCACGTAAGCTAAAGCTCTGTACATCCATGTCCGGCCCAAAGAATATGTAGGCCACCCTTGTGTGTGGGTACCTGAGTGGCATAGTGACATTGACATAGTTAGAGCCATTATAGGGGTACCCTCGAGGGTAAGTCCAGTAACCCACCCTCCCTTTATTGCTGGAGTTTGTGTCATCCATCCAGAACATCTTATATTTGTCCTCCCCATGAGTTACAAATGCTCCATGAACACCATCTACTTTTGTACTCTGGAATGGCAACTCGGTGTTGTGAAAGAAGGCGCTCATAGCCCTGGCTGGGCTGTCTGAATCCAGATGGATGTGGTCCACCAGAACTAGGAGCTGTGGGTGAAGAAGGAGCAGGTTCCTCTGGAAGTTCCTGAGTTTCAGTGCTGGATTATAGGCAGAACGTGCTTCACCTCGAATGAAAACCATCTGGTCTCTCTTCAGAGCAGCTTGTACTTGGCCCTGAGCATCAGCAGCGAGGCCCAGTTTGTACTTCAGCCACTTGGAGTCACAGGCCTCTGTGACCTGTCCAACCCAGGGCTCAAAGCAGCTTCCTGTGAGGGCTGCACCAAACAACACCGCATTGTTCAACAAAGTGTACTTGGGTCCATACAAAGCCTCTGTGATGAACGGGACACCRTTGGGTGCAAAGGTGAACGTGTTTTGATCGGGGTGCTCGTGACCAGCATTAAAGTTCCTCCAGCCCTTGATCCATTCTTTGTACTTGCTCTTGTGAACTGTATCAAAGATGGCACGTCCCCCCAGTTTACCGGACTTGAAGGACAGAAAGGAGCTGTTGGTGTCTACAGGCAAAGAGCTACCATATGTGACCACACCCCAGTCCTCAAAGTAGTGGAGCTGAGAAGTCCCAAAATCTGGTGGAGGTTTTGGGGCCAAGCCTGGGTCATACCTGTATTACAGAGAAGAAAAAAAAAACATCAGAAAACTAAACCAGACAAACAACCTTAAACTCCTGGTCTCATTCAGAGTTTTGAACAGAACATGGACGACAAAGACTGGACTATAAATCAGTATGCTAACACCAAACACCTGAAATACAGTAAATTCAGATGTTTCAGTTCAGCTGAGGATTAAAACCATCACCACCTCCAAAGGTTCTTTTTCAGACTTCTTATCTAAAAGCTGGAAAGATTTTGTTCTGCAGAGGTTGCTGCTGTCTGTGTTACTGAAGCATGTTTAGGACATCAGGTCCAACACTGCATAGTATTGAACCAGACTACATGTTTTATACCATTTGTAGAAATTTATTCACGTCACTTAAAGTTTTCCACAATTTCTCATGTTCCAACTACAGATTTCAAATGTTTTATTGGATTTTATGTGACAGACCAACACAAAGTAGGGGTGCACGATAGTTATCGGCCCGATATCAGGGAATTGTGATGTCACACTTATCGGTCCGATATCATAACAAACAGAAGTGATAATATATGTTTGCCAGCGCGGAGATGAGAATGCGTGTTTATTTTTATCCTTTTTGTTCAAGCTGCTTCCTGTCCAGTACGACCCGAGCAACGTTCAAGTTGCGTCGGAAAAAACTACTTTCTCACTACGACAATAATTAGAATTCTCCCTGTTGAAAAACAACCAGTGATTTTAAGAATTAATGATATTATTCTACCAATTAACCCTGTACGTTACGCACGAACTTTATAATTATAAACATAAAAAGGTCAGAACAACTACTCCCAGTTTGAGAACATGTAATGTCCGTTACCACCTGAACGCAACATAAAGTCCGTCTGCTAAAAATGCTAACGACAACAAGCTAGCGTTCAAGAACTCATTGGGACTTAAATCATTTCTGAGGCTTTTGACAAATCCAATAAAATTACCAGAGAGGACGCAGATCTCAAGCACTTTAACGATACAAGCAGCCGTTCACATTCGCTAAAAACCGAAGCTTTTATCTCCTGTTAGCCACGGTTTACCATAGTTAGCCACAGCTTACCATTGTTAGCCACGGTTTACCATCGTTAGCCACAGCTTACCATTGTTAGCCACGGTTTACCATCGTTAGTCACGGTTTACCATCGTTAGTCACGGTTTATCATCGTTAGTCACGGTTTACCATCGTTAGTCACGGTTTACCATCGTTAGCCATGGTTTACCATCGTTAGCCATGGTTTACCATCGTTAGCCACGGTTTACCATCGTTAGCCATGGTTTACCATCGTTAGCCACCGTTTGTCATCGTTAGCCACGGTTTACCATCGTTAGCCACGGTTTACCATCGTTAGCCATGGTTTACCTTCGTTAGCCATGGTTTACCATCGTTAGTCAAGGTTTACCATCGTTAGCCAGGGTTTACCATCGTTAGCCAAGGTTTACCATCTTTAGCCACAGTTTACCATCGTTAGCCACAGTTTACAATCGTTAGCCTCGGTTTACCATCGTTAGCCAAGGTTTACCATCGTTAGCCACAGTTTACCATCGTTAGCCACAGTTTACAATCGTTAGCCTCGGTTTACCATCGTTAGCCATGGTTTACCATTGTTAGCCACGATTTACCTTCGTTAGCCACGGTTTACCATCGTTAGTCACGGTTTAGCATCGTTAGCCACGGTTTACCATCGTTAGCCACAGTTTACCATCGTTAGCCACAGTTTACAATCGTTAGCCTCGGTTTACCATCGTTAGCCTTGGTTTACCATCGTTAGCCACGGTTTACCATCGTTAGACACAGTTTTCCATCGTTAGCCACAGTTTACAATCGTTAGCCATAGTTTACAATCGTTAGCCACAGTTTACAATCGTTAGCCACGGTTTACCATCGTTAGCCTCGGTTTACCATTGTTAGCCTTGGTTTACCATCGTTAGCCACGGTTTACCTTCGTTAGCCATGGTTTACCATCATTAGTCACAGTTTACCATCGTTAGCCACAGTTTACCATCGTTAGCCACAGTTTACAATCGTTAGCCTCGGTTTACCATCGTTAGCCTTGGTTTACCATCGTTAGCCACGGTTTACCATCGTTAGACACAGTTTTCCATCGTTAGCCACAGTTTACAATCGTTA